AAAACACTGCGAACTAGTTCATTCAATTACAAGCTTTCTTCATTTATTTTTCTTTTCTCTCCTCAATATAAAGAATCTCAAAGATAGGAAAGATAGAATATAAAGAATCTTCAAACATAGGAATAAATATTTTTTGATCAGCTTTTAACCACAAGGCTCTGTGCGAAAAACTGCAGATGTAAAGATACAATATCTGCCCTCATAGAGTTTATGGTGCACCCGATGAAATAACTAAATACCTGAAAATACAAATAAAAATACAAGACAGTATAAAAGTAGCAAAAAGAAAGAAAGAAAGAAAAGGAAGGAAGGAGGGAGGGAGGGAGGGAAGGAGGGAGGGAGGGAGGGAGTGAGGGAAGGAAGGAAGGAAGGAAGGAAGGAAGGAATGAAGGAAGGAAGGAAGGAAGGAAGGAAGGAAGGGTACCAGCTCCTCTTTGTACCTCTGGTAGAATTCGGCTGTGAATTTGTCTGATCCTGGGCTTTTTTTCATTGGTAGGCTGTTAATTACTGCCTCAATCTCAGAACTTGTTATTGGTCTATCCTGGGATTTGACTTCTTCCTGGTTTTGAAATGGGAGGATGTATGCATTCAGGAATTTATCCATTTCTTCTAGATTTTCTAGTGTATTTGCATAGAGGTGTTTATAATGTTCTCTCATGGTAGTTTGTATTTCTGTGAGCTCAGTGGTGATATCCCCTTTATCATTTTTATTGTGTCTGATTCTTTTCTCTTTTTTCCTTTATTCATCTGGCTAGCAGTCTATTTTGTTAATCTTTCTAAAAACCAGCTCCTGGATTCATTAACTGTTTGAAGGGTGTTTCTTGTCTCTATCTCCTTCAGTTCTGCTCTGATCTTAGTTATTTCTTTTCTTCTGGTAGCTTTTGAATTTGTTTGCTCTTGCTTCTCTAGTTCTTTTAATTGTGATGTTAGGATGTCGATTTTAGATCTTTCCTGCTTTCTCCTGTGGGCATTTAGTGCTATTAATTTCCCTCTAAACAGTGCTATAGCTGTGTCCCAGCAATTCTGGCATGTTGTGTCTTTGTTCTCATTGGTTTCAAAGAAGTTATTTATTTCTGCCTTCATTTTGTTATTGACCCAGTAGCCATTCAGGAGCAGGTTGTTCTGGTTCCATGTAGTTGTGCAGTTTTGAGTGAGTTTCTTAAGAAGAGTATATATTCTATTGATTCGGGGTGGAGAGTTCTGTAGATGTCTATTAGGTCTGCTTTGTCCGGAGCTGAGTTCAAATCCTGAATATCCTTGTTAATTTTCTTTCTCGTTGATTTGTCTAATATTGACAGTGGGGTGTTAAGTCCCCCACTATTATTGTGTGGGAGTCTAAGTCTCTTTGTAGGTCTCTAAGAGCTTGCTTTATGAATCTGTGTGCTCCTGTATTGAGTGCATATATATTTGGTATGGTTAGTTCTTCTTGTTGCATTGATACCTTACCATTATGTAATGCCTTTCTTTGTCTTTTTTGAATTTGTTGGTTTAAAGTCTGTTTTATCAGAGACTAGGATTGCAACCCCTGCTTTTTTTTCTTTCTATTTGCCTTGTAAATATTTTTCCATCTCTTTATTTTGAGCCTTTGTGTGTCTTTGCATGTGAGATGGGTCTCCTGAATACAGCTCACCAATGAGCCTTGACTCTTTTTCCAATTTGCCAGTCTGTGTCTTTTAATTGTAGCGTTTAGCCCATTTGCATTTAAGGTTATTACTGTTATGTGTGAATTTGATCCAGTCATTATGATGCTAGTTGATTATTTTTGCCTGTTAGTTGATGCAGTTTCTTCATAGTATCAATGGTATTTACAATTCGGTATGTTATTGCTGTGGCTGGTACTGGTTTTTCCTTTCCATATTTAGTGTTTCCTTCAGGAGCTCTTGTAAGACAGTCCTGGTGGTGACAAAATCTCTAAGCATTTGACTGTCTGTAAAGGATTTTATTTCTCCTTCACTTTTGGAGCTTAGTTTGGCTGGATATGAAATTCTGAGTTGAAAATTCTTGTGTTTAAGAATGTTGAATATTGGCCCCCACTCTCTTCTGGCTTGTAGGGTTTCTGCAGAGAGGTCTACTGTTAATCTGATGGGCTTCCCCTTGTGGGCATTCCGACCTTTCTCTCTGGCTGCCCTTAACATTTTTTCCTTCATTTCAACCTTGGTGAATCTGATGATTATGTGTCTTGGGGTTGCTCTTCTCGAGGAGTAACTTTGTGGTGTTCATTGTATTTCCTGAATCTGAATGTCAGCCTGTCCTGCTAGGTTGGGGAAGTTCTCCTGGTTAATATCCCAAAGAGTGTTTTCCAGCTTTGTTCTATTTTTCTTGTCACTTTCAGGTACACCAATCAAATGTAGATTTGGTCTTTTCACATAGTCCCATATTTCTTGGAGGATTTGTTTGTTCCTTTTCATTCTTTTTTATCTAATCTTTTTTTCACACTTTATTTCGTTAAAGTGGTTTTCAATCTCAGCTATGCTGTCTTTTGCTTGATCGATTTGGCTATTGATACTTGTGTATACTTCACGAAGTTCTCATGCTGTGTTTTTCAGTTTCATCAGGCCATTTATATTCTTCTCTTAACTGGTTATCTAGTTAGAAATTCCTCTAACTTTTTTTAAGGTTCTGAGCTTCCTTTCTTTGGGTTAGAACATGTTCTTTTAGCTCAGAGGAGTTTGTTTTTACCCACCTTCTGAAGTTTACTCTTGTCAATTTGTCAAACTCATTCTCTGTCCAGTTTTGCTCCAGTGTTGGTGAGGAACTGTGATCCTTTGGAGGAGAATAGACATTCTGGTTTTTGAAATGTTCAGCCTTTTTGCACTGGTTTTTCCTCGTCTTCATAGATTTATCTACCTTTGGTCGTTGATGGTGGTGACATTTGAATAGGGTTTATATGTGGACATGCTTTTCATTGCTGTTGATGCTACCCCCTTCTATTTGTTAGTTTTTCTTCTAACAGTCAGGCCTCTCTGTTGCAGGTCTGCTGGAGTTTGCTGGAGGTCCACTCAAGACCCTGGTTTCCTGGGTATCAGCAGCGGAGGCTGCAGAGCAGCAAAGATTGCTTCCTTTTCCTTCCTCTAGAAGCTTTGTCCCAGAGGAGCACCTGCCAGATGCCAGCTGGTGCTCTCCTTTATGAGGTGTCTCTTGGCCCCTGCTGGGAGATGTTTCCCAGTCAGGAGGCACAGGGGTCAGGGACCCACCTGAGGAGGCAATTTGTCCCTTAGCAGAGCTCGAGCACTGTGCTGGGAGATTCGCTGCTCTCTTCAGAGCTGGAAGGCAGGAACGTTTAAGTCTGCTGAAACTGCACCCACAGCTGCCCCTTCCCTTAGGTGCTCTGTCCCAGGGAGTTGGGAGTTTTATCTATAAGCCCCTGACTGGGGCTGCTGCTTTTCTTTCAGGGAGGCCCTGCCCAGAGAGGAGGAATCTAGAGAGGCAGTCTGGCTATCGCTGCTTTGCCAAGCTGCAGTGGGCTCCGCCCCATAGTATAGTTTAAAGTCAGATAGTGTGATGCCTCAAACTTTGTTCTTTTTGCTTAGGATTGCTTTGGCTATTAAGACTCTTATGGTATTTATATTAATTTTAGAATAATTTTGTCTAATTGTCTAAAAATGTCATTGGTAATTTGATAGGAATAGCACTGAATCTGTAAACTGTTTTGGGCAGTGTGGCCATTCTCATGATATTGAGTCTTCCTATTCATGAGCATGAAGTGTTGTTGTTGTTGTTTGTTTGTTTGTTTTTAAGACAGAGTTTCACTCTGTCACCCAGGCTGGAGTGCATTGGCACAATCTCAACTGACTGCAACCTCTGCCTCCTGTGTTCAAGTGTTTCTTCTGCCTCAGCCTCCCAAGTAGTTGAGACTACAGGCACACACCACCACACCCAGCTAATTTTTGTATTTTTAGTAGAGATGGGGTTTCACCATATTGGCCAGGCTGGTCTCTAACTCCTGACCTCATGATCTGCCCGCCTCGCCCTCCTAAAGTACTGGGATTGCAGGTGTAAGCCACCACGCCCAGCTGCTTTGTGTGTGTGTGTGTGTGTTTGTGTGTGTGTGTGTGTGTGTGTGTTATCTCTGATTTCCTTCAACAGTGTCTTGTCATTCTATTTGTTGAAGTCTTTCAGCTCCCTTGTTATCTGTATTCCTAGATATTTTATTTATATTGTGGCTATTATAATTGGGATTATGCTATTGATTTGACTCTCAGCTTGAATGTTATTGGTGTACAGACATGCTACTTATTTTGTGTATTGATTTTGTTTCCTAAAATTTCACTAAAGTCTTTGCCAGTTCTAGGACTCTTTCGGTACAGTCTTTAGGGTTTTATTATTATTATTATTATTATTATTTATTTTTAAATTTATTATTATTATACTTTAAGTTGTAGGGTACATGTGCATAACGTGCAGGTTTGTTACATATGTATACTTGTGCCATGTTGCTGTGCTGCACCCATCAACTCGTCAGCACCCATCAACTCGTCATTTACATCAGGTATAACTCTCAATGCAATCCCTCCCCCCTCCCTCCTCCCCATGATAGGCCCCGGTGTGTGATGTTCTCCTTCCTGAGTCCAAGTGATCTCATTGTTCAGTTCCCACCTATGAGTGAGAACATGCGGTGTTTGGTTTTCTGTTCTTGGGATAGTTTGCTAAGAATGATGGTTTCCAGCTGCATCCATGTCCCTACAAAGGACACAAACTCATCCTTTTTGATGGCTGCATAGTATTCCATGGAGAGGATGTGGAGAAATAGGAACACTTTTACACTGTTGGTGGGATTGTAAACTAGTTCTTTAGGGTTTTGTATGTATAGAATCATATTGTTAGCAAAAAGAGATGGTTTGGCTTCCTTTCCAATTTGGATGGCTTTTATTTCTTTCTCTTGCATGATTACTCTGGCTAGGACTTCCAATACTATATTTAGTAGGAGTGGTGAGGGTGGGCATCCTTGTCTTCTTCCAGTTGGCCATATGTTTAATGCTGTGCTTTTCATTTTTTTATAGGTTTTTGCTTTGTGATTACCATGATATAGGAAACATCTTATAGATGAAGGCATTGAGAGTGGACAGAGGGAAGACACAGATGCTGGGATGAAGGGGGAGGAAGTTTGGACCCTTCATCAGTCTACTGTGCACGAAGACTCATTCCTGGCCCCCAACAGCTCCTTAAGAGGGGGTGAGTTGAGCAAGCTTGTGGTGGCCTAGTTTCACCAAAATCCTCTGGAATCCTGTCAGCAAGAGACCCCATGACCCCCACAGAAAATTGAGCTGGCAGAGAGAGCTGTTTGGAGAGGTGGTGTGGGCAGAACTCCATCTGGTGCAGAACCTGGGGAGTTTGGTGTAGGACAGTGTGTGGTGGAGCATGGCCAGGAATGCCCATCCTCCAAGGCTCATCTTGCTTCCTTAAGAGACTTTAGCTTTAGGGGAACTGTCGGACCTGCATAGTTCAGGGCGATCTTTCCCATGAGATGGGGCTGCTCTGATCTGATTGCCCTCCTGTCTGCTAGTCCCTCCCAGGGCACCAGTCTGGCCATTATGGCTTGCAGTGCAGCCTCAGATCTGCAGTTGTGGTGCCTCACAGAGACCCACATGATAGCTTCAGCACTGGCAGACTGTGCCTGATCATTGGAAAGCTCCAGCCAAATGACCTCCACACACCAGCCCACCCATGCCCTTGCCCCACTGCTGCTTCCCCTATGCTGCCTTGCTGGCATGCACTGGCTCACAGTCACCCTCCACATTAATTTACTGGTACGTGTACACATGGGTGGACTTCAATTCTCTTTCCCTGCTGGCGCACACGTGCATGTGCATTGCACTAAGCCACTGCTGCTGGCATAAGCACACCCTGCCCTGCCCCCAGTTGTGCCACCATTGCCAATGTAAAGGTGCATAAGGAAACCAGAAGCTTCACCTGCCCTTTGCCACCATCATCACTGACACATTAATGCATACAGAGACTGTCAGCTCCATGCCCATCAGTGCCCTGCTCCCATGCTGATACTGCCACAGGCATTAATCTGTGCACAGAGACCAGCAGCCCCATGCCTCATCCTGTGTGACTGCTGCTACTGGCATGAACATGGGCACAGAGGTTGCTATCCCTGTGTTCTCCAGTGCCCTGCTCCATGCTGACACCCCCACTGGTGCAAATGCAAACGTAGATGCCTACAGTCCCCTACACTCCACACCTCCACCACGGTGCTGCCATCATTGCCACTGCAAACATCCACATGGTGGCCAGCAAATCTGTGCACACCAATGCCCCACCACAGCCAATGAGCAATCACACCACCACATTGCCATTGCTGCTGGTACATGAAAATGAGCATGGATCTAGCTAACACCACATGACAAAGCAATCTGCCTGGCACCACCCATCGGAGTGTTGTGAACAGTGATCCAGGAACACTTGGGTCCCTCCCGCACAGCAGGTTCCTAACCTCAAGAGACCAGAAAGCAAAGCCAATGGCTTGATATTAGCGGCCGTAGAGTTAAAGCATGCATTCCAGGCATCTTGAGCTCAGCTTTGGTGTCCTAAAATTTTCCAGAAATGTAGCCAGTTGACTAAACCCACCTTATATTACAATCAAACTCCCAAGGACATTAAAGAGGTCAGAAGAACAAAAATCCCATCCAAAGGACAGCAAATTCACAGACTGAAAGAATACCAACCCACAAAGATGAGAAAGAACCATGACAAAAACTCTAGTAACTCAAAAAGCCAGAGTGTCTTCTTAACTCTAAATGGCTCAACTTGTTCCCCAACAATGGTTCTTAACCAGGCTGAAATGGCTGAAATGACAGATAAAGAATGTCAGTAGAAATGAACATTATTCATACCCAGGAGAACATCAAAACCCAGTCCAAGGTTTCTAAGGAATAAAATAAGATGAAGGAAATCAAAGGTGAACTGGAAATTATAAGAAAAAAACCTGATAAGATAGAACTAAAACACTCATTTCAAGAATTTCATTATATAATCACAATATTAGCAGCAGAATTGACCAAGCTGAGGAAGGAATCTCAGAACTAGAAGACTGGCTCTCTGAAATATCTCAGACAAAAATAAAGAAAAAAGAAGAAAGAACGAAGAACAAAACCTGAGAAATATGGGATTTTGTAAAGAGACCAAATTTATGACTCATTAGTGTCTCTGAAAGAGGAAACAAAGCAAGCAATTTGGACAACACATTTTAGGATATTGTCCATGAAATGTTTCTCTGCTAGATAGGACAACATTCAAAGTTAGGAAATGCAGGGAACCTCTATGAGATACTACAAAAGACAGCCACCCCCAAGACACATAATCATCAGATTCTCCAAGGTCTAAATAAAAGAAAAAAATGTAAAGGCAACTGAAGAGGTGGTTTACCTACAAACGGAACCTCATCAGGCTAACAGTGGACCTTTCAGCCGAAATCTTACAAACCAGAAGGAATTAGGGGCCTATATTTAGCATTCTTAAAGAAAGGAATTTTCAACTGAGAATTTCTTATCCAGACAAACTAAGCTTCATAAGCAAAGGAGAAATGAGATCCATCTCAAACAAACAAATGCTGAGGGAATGCATTTCCACAAGACAAACCTTACAAGAGGTCCCGAAGTGAGTGCTAAATATGGAAAGAAAACACCATTATTGGGCACTACAAAAACTCACTTAAGTACATAGACCAGTGGCACTATAAAGCAACCACAGAAACAAGTCTGCATAATAACCAGTTAACAACATGTTGACAGGATCAAATTTGCACATGTGAATACTAACCTTGATTGTAAATTATCTAAATGCCCCAATTAAAAGGCACAGAATGGCAACTTGGATAAAGAAGCAAAACCCAGTATTCTGTAATTAAGAGACTCATCTCACAATCAATGAAATGCATAGATTCAAAGTAAAGGGATGTAGAAAATTCTGCCAAGCAAATGAAAAACAAAACAAAACAAAAAGCAGGGGTTGCTATTCTAATTCTAGGCAAACCAGACCTTCAAACAACAAAGATCATAAAAGACAAAAGGAGGCAGAGCAAGATAGTGGAACTGATGGCTACACAAATTGTATTTCTATAAGGACACCAATTTACAACTATCTACACAGAGAAAGCTCCTTCATGAGAACCAAAAATCAGGTGAGCCTGTGTAACACCTGATTTTAACTTCATATCACTGAAAGAGGTAAAGAAAAGATAGAAAAAAGGTCTAAAGTTGCCAATGCCACCTCTCCCCAACCCCATTCTCCTGCCCCGGCAGTAGCAGCATGGTATAGAGATCATCTCTGGGTGCTGAGGGAGGGAGAACAGCAATTGTGAGGCATTGAACTCAGTGCTGTCCTGTTAGAGCAGAAAGGAAAACCAGACCAAACTCAGCCGACACTCACACACAGAAGTAGTATTTATTTTTTTATTTTATTTTTTTTAATTTATTATTATTATACTTGAAGTTGTAGGGTACATGTGCATAACGTGCAGGTTTGTTACATATGTATACTTGTGCCTTGTTGGTGTGCTGCACCCATCAACTCGTCAAACAAATTTACAAGAAAAAAACAAACAGCCCCATCAAAAAGTGGGCAAAGGATATGAACAGACATTTCTCAAAAGAACACATTCATACAGCCAACAGACACATGAAAAAATGCTCATCATCACTGGCCATCAGAGAAATGCAAATCAAAACCACAATGAGATATCATCTCACACCAGTTAGAATGGCGATCATTCAAAAGTCAGGAAACAACAGGTGCTGGAGAGGATGTGGAGAAATAGGAACACTTTTACACTGTTGGTGGGATTGCAAACTAGTTCAACCATTATGGAAAACAGTATGGCGATTCCTCAAGGATCTAGAACTAGAAATACCATATGACCCAGCCATCCCATTACTGGGTATATACCCAAAGGATTATAAATCATGCTGCTATAAAGACACATGCACACGTATGTTTATTGCGGCACTATTCACAATAGCAAAGACTTGGAATCAACCCAAATGTCCATCAGTGACAGATTGGATTAAGAAAATGTGGCACATATACACCATGGAATACTATGCAGCCATAAAAAGGATGAGTTTGTGTCCTTTGTAGGGACATGGATGCAGCTGGAAACCATCATTCTTAGCAAACTATCACAAGAACAGAAAACCAAACACCGCATGTTCTCACTCATAGGTGGGAACTGATCAATGAGATCACTTGGACTCAAGAAGTAGTATTTAAGCCAGCCCTCGCCAGTCCTGTGCTGGCTTCAGGTCTGACCCAGCATAGTCATAGTGTTGGTGGCCACAGGGGTGCTAATATGACTCCACCCTCAGTTTTTGGAGGTTCAAAACTGAGAGAGATTCTCCGTTTCCTTGGGAAAAATTCAGGCTAGAGAACAAGATATCTGCCTGGTAATCCAGAGAATTCTTCATCTTTTTCAAAACCATCAAGTTAATAACTCTATGAGTCTGCAAGAACTACAGTTTTATTAGGCTTGAGGTGCTCCTTAAAGCAGATGCTGCTTAGCTCTTGATACCCAAGTCCTTTCAAATATCTGGAAAGCCTTCTCAAAAATGATGGATACAAACAAGACAAGATATAGAAGACTACAATAAATAACAAATTCTTCAATGCCCAGACACTGAAGAATGTCTACTTGCATCAACACCATCCAGGAAAACATGACCTCATCCAATGAACTAAATAGGTAGCCAGGGACTAATCCTGGATAAACAGAGATATGTGACCTTTCAGAAAGAGAATTTGGAACAGCTGGGTTCGGGGAACTCAGAGAAATTCAAGATAGCACAGGAAAAGTCAGAATTCCACAGATAAATTTAATAAGAGAATGAAATAATTGAAAAGAATCTAGCTGAAATTCTGGAGCTGAAGAAATGCAATTTATGTATTTAAGAATGCATCAGAGTCTTTTTAAATTATACTTTAAGCTCTAGGGTACATGTGCAGATTGTGCAGGTTTGTTACATAGGTATATATGTGCCATGGTGATTTGCTGCACCCATCAACCTGTCATCTACATTAGGTATTTCTCCTAATGCTATCCCTCCCCCAGCCCTCACACCCTGGCAGACCCCAGTGTGTGATGTTCCCCTCCCTGTGTCCATGTGTTCTCATTGTTCAACTCCAACTTATGAGTGAGAACATGCAGTGTTTGGTTTTCTGTTATGGTGTCAGTTTGCTGAGAATGATGGTTTCCAGCTTCATCCATGTTCCTACAAAGGACATGTCCCTCCAAAGGACACCTAGCTCTGTGTCCTTTCATTCGGGGCAGTGAGTTCTCCCATGTCCTATGTGAGTCCAGAAGTGCTGTTTGGGTATCATGGACTACAGTCAAAAACCTTAGAGATCTTACTGGTGTTCTATTTTTTATGGCTGCATAGTATTTCATGGTGTATCTGTGCCACATTTTCTTTATCCAGTCTATTATTCCTGGGCATTTCGGTTGGTTCCAAGTTTGTGCTATTGTGAACAGTGCCACAATAAACATACGTATGCACGTGTTTTTATAGTAGAATGATTTATAATCCTTTTGATACACACCCAGTAATGGGATTGTTGCATCAAATGGTATTTCTGGTTCTAGACCCTTGAAGAATCGCCACAGTGTCTTCTAAAATGGTTGAACTAATTTACACTCCCACCAACAGTGTAAATGTGTTCTTATTTCTCCACATCCTCTCTAGCATCTATTGTTTCCTGACTTTTTAATGATCACCATTCTAACTGGTGTGAGATGTAATCTCATTGTGGATTTGATTTGCATTTCTCTAATGACCAGTGATGATGAGCTTTTTTTTTTTTTTCATATATTTCTTGGCAAGATAGATGTCTTCTTTTGAGAAGTATCTGTTCATATCCTTCACCCACTTTTTGATGGGGTTCTTTGTTTTTTTCTTGCACATTTGCTTAAGTTCTTTGTAGATTCTGGAACTTCCCCAACCTAGTAAGGCAGGCCAACATTCAAATTCAGGAAATACACGAACGCCACAAAGATACTCCTCGAGAAGAGCAACTCCAAGACACATAACTGTCAGATTCACCAAAGTTGAAATGAAGGAAAAAATGTTAAGGGCAGCCAGAGAGAAAGGTCAGGTTACCCACAAAGGGAAGCCCATCAGACTAACAGCAGATCTCTCAGCAGAAACTCTACAAGCCAGAAGAGAGTGGGGGCCAATATTCAACATTCTTGAAAAGAATTTTCAACCCAGAATTTCATATCCAGCCAAACTAAGTTTCATAAGGGAAGGAGAAATAAAATCCTTTACAGACAAGCAAATGCTTAGAGATTTTGTCACCACCAGGCCTGCCCTACAAGAGATCCTGAAGGAAGCACTAAACATGGAAAGGAACAAGTACCAGCCATTGCAAAAACATGCCAAAATGTAAAGTCCATTGATGCTAGGAAGAAACTGCATCAACTAACGAGCAAAATACCCAGCTAATATCATAATGACAGGAGCAACTTCAACCATAACAATATTAACCTTAAATGTAAATGGACTAAATGCTCCAATTAAAGGACACAGACTTGGAAATTGGATAAAGAGTCAAAACCCATCAGTTTGCTGTATTAAGGAGACCCATCTCACATGCAGAGACACACATAGGCTCAAAATAAAGGGATGGAGGAAGATCTACCAAGCAAATGGAGAATTAAAAAAGGCAAGGGTTGCAATCCTAGTCTCTGATAAAACAGATTTTAAACCATCAAAGATCAAAACAGACAAAGAAGGCCATTACAGAATGGTAAAGGGATCAATTCAACAGGAAGAGCTAACTATCCTAAAAATATATGCACCCAATACAGGAGCACTCAGATTCATAAAGCAAGTCCTTAGAGACTTACAAAGAGACTTAGACTCCCATACAATAATAATGGGAGACTTCAACACCCCACTGTCAACATTAGACAGATCAACGAGACAGAAAGTTAACAAGGATATCCAGGAATTGAACTCAACTCTGCACCAAGCGGACCTAATAGACATCTATAGAACTCTCCACCCCAAATCAACAGAATATACATTCTTCTCAGCACCACATTGCACTTATTCTAAAATTGACCACATAGTTGGAAGTAAAGCACTTCTCAACAAATGTAAAAGAACAGAAATTATAACAAACTCTCTCTCAGACCACAGTGCAGTCAAACTGGAACTCAGGACTAAGAAATTCAATCAAAACTGCTCAACTACATGGAAACTGAACAACTTGCTATTCAACATAGTGTTGGAAGTTCTGTCTAGGGAAATCAGGCAAGAGAAGAAATAATGGGTATTCAGTCAGGAAAAGAAGAAGTCAAATTGTCCCTGTTTGCAGATGACATGATTGTATATTTAGGAAACCCCATTATCTCAGTCCAATATCTCCTTAAGCTGATAAGCAACTTCAGCAAAGTCTCAGGATACAAAATCAATGTGCGAAAATCACAAGCATTCTTAACAACGAGCTAACGCAAACAGCATGTACTCGTACCAAAACAGAGATAATATGACCAATGAATTAGAACAGATTTCCTCAGAAATAATTACCCAACACATCTACAGCCATTTCTAAATCTTTGCCAACACTGACACATACAAATGGGTAATATGTTTTGGATGCCCTATTTCCATAAATGTGCTGGGAATATATGATCTTAATCATATTAGTTTAAACTGAAACTGCGGATCTCTTTTTTCTCTTATTTTTCTCTTTATTATTATCATTATTTTTATCAACGTAGATTAGATTTACCATCGTTCAGACTAAAACTCTATTTATAAAATCCCAGATAGTTTAAAATCTTCAAGGTATGTAACCATTTCTAGTTTTTTGCCAAGGCATTTGGGCAAGGACCTTCATTTCTATTTATAACACTCAAAAAAATTTTGTTAATCAAATTTATCCTCTAATATTTTTGACAAATGTGTTATCTTAATTAAATTAAAGGCTTCTGCACAGCAAATAACTACCGCAGAGTGACAGGGAATACCACGAATGGAGGATCATATTTTTTACAATCTTATTCCATCTGACAAAGGCCTTTATATCAGAACTTAAAAGTAACTAGTCAATAATTACAGAAACAAACAACCATCCATCAAAAGTGAGCAAAGTGATATGAACGACACTTCTCAAAAT